CAATAGGGAACCCACCTATATTAATAAATACCTATAAGCACAAAAAATTATAATTAAAGCATTAATTAACAAAGGTAGGCAATATCGGATAAAATGAATATAAACCAGATCAACAGGTAGCACGCTTGCTTTATGCCCATAATGTAATAGACCGCCATATTGCAAATAAAAGTGCAAGATTCATATCTACACGAAAAGATTAAAAGGAGTTAAGGCTAGTAAAAGACGGGCTTGATCCTATGTTTACACCTGGAGTATACGGCATGTGAATATGGGAAGGATTATGTAGGTATAACAGAGATTGGTTTTTACAAGAATGAAGGAACGAAGGAACATAAAGATGCCCAACCAGCCTCAGAAATCAGCCATCACCCGACAAGCCTTAGATGAAGTACAATAAATTTCAAAGACACCGAGGCACTTGTGAAGAGGACAGGATCTACAACCTGGTGAGAGCAATGGAATTCCAACAATATCTAGTTGATATGAATCATGAAGAAAGCCTTCGGATGAGTACAACCTGTTTACCTCCTCACAAGAACAATCAACGGCGTAAGAATACGTGATACACCACTGCATAGGCCTGAAGTCATATGCAACGGCAATATGGTATCGGCGATTCAAAGGTAAGACCATATCTACTATCTAACTGCAGAGGCACAAAATACAGGGTGATTCAGAACTTATCCAAAAAAAAAAAAATATTCTGGATGTACAAGGGACCCTTACAAATACAATTTTGTAAAGAAAAAATAAAAAATGGCAGTTCGAAAATTATTTAAAAATACACTTCTGCACGGCACTGGAAACTGGGCCACTGTAAAACCTGACTTTACACAATGCGACCGGCATGGCGGTGTGATAAAAACGGACAAAAACTTTCGGAAGGAAAGAAATAAATAGAATTTATAGCACCTATTTTATATCGGCAAATTCAACTGCTTTTGCCTTTATTAATTAATAAAATTAAGTTGTGTTTTTAAATAATAAAATCATTTGACATACCTACCCGATGTTACAACAACAATTGTTCAAAATTTTATCCACCAACATGTAAACACATTTGGGTTCGTCTTACTAAGTTTATACGAACTAAGACAAATGTTGTCTTGCTCTACCATAACACAAATGCTTCTCCATAATACAAGCGTTGTCTTGCTTCACCATAAATTAAAACGATATCCATCAACTCCGAATTGCTATCCACGCAAACCATTTGTGACACTAACTACCAAAAAAACTATTGTAAACACCACAGATAACAAGTAAACACTATCGCGACGAGGATTGCAAAATCGGATTTCAGTATTCGGAGTCGCTGAGGCCACGTGTATTGCGTATTTGGAATGACATTAGAGACAGTTGCTATGTAGTGGTTAAATGTACTATAACTTCAATAATTATTTTCTCGGAAACTATTTTACAAAAATTTTTTTTACAATTTTGACTCCATTTCTCATGCTGCGTCTATTCCCAATTTGTTTTTGGATAAGTTGTGAATCACTCTGTATATAATAGTGGTGCACAGGTGTGGAGTATGAGCAGCAATACCGGAGACGTACCCGAGGTCCGGAACCACGTTCTCTATCCCATAATTCCCATTCCACAGTACTAGAGGCGCGTCATCAGCAATGTAAGCGGAACTTTGGGACCACTGAAGATATCGATAGTGAAAACCGTGAAACATTTGGAAGCATTAGATGCAACCAGTTACAGATATCATTACAGAGTCTCAGACATTATCTGAGAAGTACTGTCTGTATATAACGACCTTAAAAACAAAAACCAAATTGGCATCAGGCCAGACGTATAGGATCTAATAGCGGGTCCGCCTCCCATAGAGCTTAGTCCAAGAACATGAGACAGATCAAAAATTCCTAACTGAGGCTAAGGAAGCTGAGAGGTACATATGCTACGGCATATCAACCCGAAAAAACATACTTTAAATATCAGCAGAGGCCGAATAAGACATAAAACCGCTAAAAATAGTATGGTTATAATTACAATCTGAAGCCAGACGCTTTTTTTGTTGAATATGTCCATTTGTTATTATTTCCATTGCAAAAAAGAAAAAGCAATTTTTCTTTTTGTAAAATATAGAGGTAAAAAAAATAATTGGTATGGAGCGTTCTGGATCTTAATCTCACTCTTTGCTTATCTTTACCTGAGAAATATTCTCTTGACGTTTGTACACTTCCTGTGTACCAAAGCTATTTTTTAGGAAAAGCCAACATTTTGCCCTTCTCGTTACAGCATTGTACACTACATAAAGTAATATGTTTTAAGGTAACTTGTGAAGAACAACTCAAACCACTGAAAATACTTCATCTCTCAGATTTTCATATCACACCAGATTATGAAGTAGGTGGAGTAGAGAATTGTGGTTACCCAATGTGTTGTAAAAAAGGTTTAGGAAACTCATTCTGGGGTTCAAATGCAGGAAAGTGGGGAGACTACAATTGTGACGTACCTCCATGGCTTTTTAAAAAAACATTGCATCATATAAACCAAACTCATAAGGTTTATATTTACTGATGCATAAGGAGGAATAATTTTATTAATGCATCATTTTATAGGAGATAGATCTAGTATATTTTACTGGAGATATAGTAGATCATACTATATGGAAGTCATCCATTAAGGATAACTCTGATATTATCGATTTTACATTCAAAACTTTATTTGAAACATTTCCAAATACACCAGTTTTGTCAGTAATTGGCAACCATGAAAGTGCTCCCGTAAATGTGTAAGAAAAACCTATTGTGAAAATTATTGCGAAATTTTAAATTTGTAATTTTAGATTTCCTCCATCTGACGATAACATTAAAAAGGCTGGTCTGTCTGACCAATGGTTATACAAATTAATGTCAAAATTGTGGAGTAGTTGGTTGCCCAAAAAGTCTCAGAATACAATAGAAAAGCAGGGTTATTATTCTTACATGGTTAATAAAAAATTCAAAGTTATTGCTTTAAATAATAATGTATGCTATTATTTCAACTGGTAAATATTGAATATAGCCATATTTCAGAAATTATTTTTTGCTTGTAGGTGGCTTCTCTACAATACAACATATTTAAGTGAACAATTAAATTTTCTAAAAACAGAATTAGAAGCTGAGAGAAATGAACAATTTGTTCATATTATAGCCCATATACCTGTTGGGAATAAAGAGTGCATTGAACCATGGGAAATTAACTATAACAGCTTAATCAAGAGGTGCAAATTTAAATAGTGTATTATTCCTATAGAACAAATGATTTTTTTTAGATTTTCACATATAATTCAGGGCCAATTTTATGGACATACACACACAGATGAACTAAAAATTTTCTACGATGAAAAGGGTATTCCAATAAATGTTGGATATAACGGAGCTAGTTTGACTCCCTACCAAAAATACAATCCAAATTATAAATTAATTGTTGTAGATCCCTATTATTATGTAAGTACAATTTAGGATAGTGGTATGTAACTGTAAGCTACTATATTTATAAATAGGTATTATATCTTGATTTAAAAACAGAACACTTTAAACAAACAGAATCAAGAACAGTGCTTTTTGAGTCACAATTTGTGTAAATATTACATAACTGAATGATGCTCTTTAACTTTAATTTTGTAAACATCAACTATAATCATTTGTTTATAGTTTACACCCTGTATTATACAAAAACTTAATTGTTCTTATTAAGGAATAGTGTAATTCATCTATTAAATGGTATTTAAAGTTAAAATTAGGATAAAATTTCAAGAACATGATATTGTAACTTAGTAACATTATTATTTTCAGGATGTTTTTGATGTTGACACTTACTATTTCAATCTAACCGAGGCAAACAATCACCAAAATCGTGCTCCAGATTGGTTAAAGCTGTACTCTATGAAAAAAGCTTATGATTTGAATAGTCTCTCCCCTACAGATATTGATAAAGCGTTAACAAATATATCTACAAATAAAACTTTATTTGATAAATACTGGAGGTAAGAATTTATTTGAATACTGCCATTATTAGTATATTACTTGAATTAAATGATTTATTTATTGTCTACTGGTTAAAAATAACAGTAAACAAACATAAAATAAATTTTCAAGTTTTATATTATGTACTTAATAAGTTCTTTGCCAAACTAAAATCAAATAAAAATAACTGTACAATATTAATATTTACAAACTTGAATATTATAATTTTTAGGGAACTCTATCTTGTTTTATTAAATTATATTATGCAAAAAAGTAAAAAATAAATAAATACTGACTTAACAAAAAAAGCGAACATATTGAAAACTGCTGAAATAGAGAGAAAGTGATGCATTGAATTCTCACGATAAATCGAAGTATTCGATTTTGCCATACTTATTCATTCTCAAGTGGACTAGGCTAATTAAAAAATCACATACATTAACAAATAAGTCGTATAGCACACAAGTCTTGGCATTATTAATTTGATTGACATGACATTATCTCGAGCATAGGCGTAACAGTTTGTTACTGTTCATTGTAAACAAATCATTAATATTGGTGATGCCAAGATTTGCTAACAAGGGATATCACTTACATAGACTTTAAATAAGCCAATGGTACTAGAACGTAGGTGCATATTATTAAAAAATATTTGTTTCTACTTCTGGGCAGCTTATGCTAATGCTAATTTTTAGCAATTCTTTTATCAAAACCTAGTTCCCACTGAATAAATCTCCAAGTTCGTGCATACCATGAAAATATATTTTTATGAAATGTAACTAAGCAATTTTTATTTTTGCAGGTTTTATGTTCGAAATGGAGATGCTTCTTTGAAGGGTGGATGCAACAAGAAGTGTAGAACTAAAATTATTTGTAAAATTTTTACTACTGATTCCATGAACTCGGAAAAAGTAGAATGCGCATAATAAAATGCAAATAAATATATTGCCATTTTATGACTAATATTTATTAAACCAATAATTTCAGAAAGGATAGAAAATGAACAAGTTTTTTAGTGGATTGTTTAATTTTGATAATTAGAATACTACGATAATAGTGAAAAACTACAGCGACTAAGATTAATTGCTAAAAGTATTGATATTAGATAGCAAAATCACACTTCTTTTCTTGTCCATGATAATAAAAAACTTATAGCATGTCTTCAAAGCCAATTAGGAACCTATTTTTACTGAAGAAATTACCAAAAGAAAGATTAAGTTTGCATTAATATGGTTTTCCACATTAAATGAATTTTATGCATTATTTAGACTTTTTTTCTTTCAAAAAATATGCATGTAACACTATGACATAAAAAAACTACCTTGTCTTCAAAAAATTCTATTTACAATAAATTACGTGTGTCTTAATCGTGTTTATGCAAAATGATACATTTTGCAATTAAATAATTAATATACATATTTTTTTACAAAATATTTCTAAATATTCTACTTAACTTATTTACTAGGTACACTATTTATGTAAAGGTTCCCATCGTATAGCCTTTTCTGTGAGAATTTGATCTTTTGACATATTATCTAGTAAAGCAATCTGTAAAAAAAAATGTTGAAATTATTAAGGATAAGATATTTTTTTCTTTTTACATATACTATTAAATTTTAAGACTGATTTTGTTATGGCGAAGTGTGTGGCACTGTTTATGTGCAGGAACTACCTAGTGGGAACCCTTCCAAATGACCAAACATAATTTCATGAGTATAACTTATCTCCCACGAAGTTGTAATGTTTTGCGTAAAATGAGTTTTTTATAGTCGTCATGGAAACGCACATTAAACAGCGTGCAGCACTGAAGTTCTGTTCCAAAGCCGATAAAACAGCCATGGAAATGTATCTACTGTTACAAACAGCGTATGGTGAGGAGGATCACATCCGAATGTCTTCCTGTAGTTTGGGGATGTTTAGTGATGGGTGAGACAGAGTGTCCATCATTAATCAACCATCAGAATGTCGGTAAACTGTGTACGATTGATCAACGATCAGACTTCAGCGCAGAGCGCTCAGCTTCGATGCACGCTGTTTCGGCGTTGAGTGAGAAATAATCTATTTCTCACTCAACGGTTTCGGCCACCACAAAACCTCCTGAACTACAGGAACATAGTTGTGATACACACGCCTTACAATTTGTAACACGTTTCCGTAGCTATTTTACCGGCTTTAAAATGGTGTAGTAAATAGGACTTTATGTATGATAGGATTTGCTTCTCGGAAAGTGCACAACAGCAACTTCACGACGAAGCGAGTGTCGTGGGCTAAATGCCCACGACACTCGCTGCAAAATTTTATAGTTCCAATAGGAACCGTGTACCAAAAGTGAACCCGAGAGGTGGCGTCAGTAGGTCACCTGGTAGCAACTTCGGGAACCAAAATTTTGTAGTTTGCAAAAATTAAAATTGAACTCGAGACGGTTCGAGAAGAAAATTTTAGAGTCAGTCGTTGCAGGGCTCTGGGAATCGAAAGATTATTGCCAGGATCCGGGATCTGAGTTGTTGCGGGGCTCCCGGATTGAGATTTTTTTTTGTGCAGGGCACTAGGTGTTGTCTTGTGCAATTTTTAGAGTCCGTTATTGTAGGGATCCGGGATCCGGGTCGATCGGCGTGGAAGCCAGAGTAATTTGAGTTTGGCTCGGGAAAACCTTCAAGTTTTCTATTCGTTGGTCTTTGAGTGATTTGCTTATTGGATTAGCTGCGGAGGCAAGTTTGGTGAGTTTCGATCGCATTAGTAGCCAGAGGGATCATTTTTGTTTGTTTATTGTCAAATTTAGATTAACATTTAAATTATTTGTTTTTTTTTTCTTGATAACGTTTGGCCGTCAGGTGAGAAGTAAATCTTATTTGATAGTGATGGTGTCAAGTGCTGATTCCTCTCGCCTAGAGAGTTAGACGCCCATAAGTGTGTATAATACAGTGTGGCTCGCTTTGCCGTGAGGTAGACCTCACTTTTAGATTTTAGTTTTTGATGTTTTATGGCCATCGTGTGTCACTGGTGCTGTGACCCCGTGCTTTCAACCGGCACTTGGCTGTTCATTCGAATTTTGTTCTATATACATGTCACAATTTTTGGTTTTTGTTTTGTTTGTTTTGTTGTTTGTATCGACAACGTTGCGCCCCAGGCGCTATTTTAATTTTTTATTTTAATATACTGCTGATTTTCATTTTTTAATTTTTTTTCAACTGTACCAATTATTTCTTTTACACATAAAGCCCGTGCATTGAAGGTTTCAACCTTCTAACTTAAACCGTGCCTGAGTCCACGTGCCTTCAATCTTATTTCCAAGGTCAGGCGGAAAATGAGAATTTTACCAAAAATTACCTGACCTAGTGGCAGCAGTGTAACTACCAGACAACTGCATAAAGTTGTCTCGGCAGGTACGTACTTTAAGGGGGCTGCAGCCAGGTTGTGCTGTGGTTTTGCTGCCGAGCGATGTCACATACCTACACGGAGTGTATTACAACAGAACTTGATTGCTGTATGCTGTTTGATGTGCGTTTCCATGACAACTATCAAAAATTCGTTTCATGCAAAACGCTATAACTTCATGGAAGTTACACGTATACTGATGATATTTTGTTTAGTCACTCACAAGGCTTAACAATAAAATTAGTCTTAAAACTTAATAGCCGAAGCGTGTACTTTTTTATTCAACATACTATTAATCTCTATAATAGGTAGGTAGTATTCAGTCATAAAACATTACCAATTACCTTTTTCACTTATATAGGACTAAAGTTTAAGTAAATTTTTTTGTGGTATGCAAGTAACATTTAGAAACAGAACAAACACCCTGTGCATTTTTACTTATTCTGAAATAACACTATCCTTATTATTTAAATTTAGAAATACAAAATTAAATTGACCTCAGCTCTATTCTATTCAGTTTCCAGTTAATAAACATTATTCCATAATACTGGGTGTTTCAGATAAACTGTACATATGTACTATGAATTTTCACTAAAACTTATTTTGAATGTAGCCTTGTTACTGTCAGCTTATTTAATTAACTATAAAATACTGAACATAAATTTTAAATTCTGTTTTATTAGAAATGCATCAATTTTTAACAGACTTTTTACAAATAATCAAGGACGATTTTCCTGATATTGATATTACAATAATAAGTCTTCCCATTATTAATATCGACCTCAAGTAAGAAAATATTTGTCAAAATAAGTTTGAAAAAACAATTTAGAAAAATTTATTTAGAATTTCATGTATTAATTCAAAAGTTGAACGAAGTGTGACAAAAAATAAAACTGGTTTATGTACTTTCAATATGCGATTACCATATGAAATAATACAAAAAATATACATTTCCAGGGGCCACAAAAATGGGAATTTTCCCAAGACCATCCTGGAAGATTAGAATTGTGACTTCAAGATCTTTAGTGGTATTATGGCGCATAACAAAAATATATTAATTCTCATAAATTTGACTTTCATCAAGTGGTCATTAAGTGACAAATTACTCTACTACACCATTACCATATGTACAGTACAGTTCATCATGAAAGCCCTTGTATAAATCGATACTGTTGCTGTAGTAAATCAAAATTTCAAATATTTACCTGTTTCCTAATATATTTTACTAATGTCACTAAATTTTCTGGGTTTACGACTCCTAACTGATAAAATCTTCTCCATAAAGCACCCGCTAAAACAATATCATCTCCTTGAAGACCCTCATCGTAAGACAAGAGAGCAGCTTGTAACTGTTCCGACAATTCAAATACTTGTTCTTTCATTAAAGAACTACTGCCAACCTATAATTAACAAAGTTGGCCAATATTAATTACACTACAACTCTAAGAACGACAAACACCAATTTAAAAACTTAAAAATAGAGAACATTGTATTTCAAAACTGGTATTAATCATATTTATTTTTTATATTAGTGAGTGTGCATTACATTTGTAAAAATAATCAGTTTCAACAATTACAAAATAAATATATATTATATTCACTCTCAGTTTAAAATTATACATGTACTATTTAAATATAAAAGATTAATATCAATTGAATTAATTTAGAAAAGACGCTAATATTTTTTACCATTTTGTTATTATACCTGTTTCATAAACCTTGTAGTAAATTCACCGTTTAATGCAGAAAAGTATATTCCACAAAAAATATTGCTGGTAAGTACTGCTGAAAAATATAGCACCTTTTGCATGTGCTTTATATAACGGTAACAAAAATCAATTTTTGTTGGTTTTCTCAGACAATTCTAAACGAGTCTCTTTCTCACATAAATGATTATATGTAAAATATTCATTTCTGTGGTGTTTTAAGTTTTTTGTTTTTAAAGGATATTCAACAAATAAGCAAAACGAAGAGCTAAATCTATTTCTCAAAACAGATACTTTTACAAAGTAGTACTCCTGATTACAAAATATGAAAACTACTAAGCAGATCTAATGAATGACAGAACTTAAACTAGAGATGAGAAAATTCCCAATCTGAAAATTCCTGGAAAGTTTCCATTGAAAATTCCGGAAATTTCAAAAAATTTTTTTGGATTTGGTATTGAGTTCTACATACCATTAGCTTTCCAAAAACCAAATACTTATATACATTTTTATTTATATTGGTATAAATATTGGAAAAATATAAATTATGTATTAATCGTCCGTTAGAAAAAATTACATGCTGAGGGTTACAGTGCGTAAACACTATACAGTATACAATATTTATCTTTATTTTTGAAGAAACAAATAGTAAATACATTAAATAATTATACTAGTTTTAAAATGTACCTAATTGTACTTTGGTTCAACTATCAAAATTCATATTAAATTTGAAAAGGAGGCAATTTATGAGTCTTGTATTGCTCTGTATTATGTAGATTGTAGACTTAACAAAGATTAAAATAAGTAAGTGTAAGTGTTTTCTAACTTATTTGGATAATATGGTCTTCTGGTATTCCGAATTAACCGAAAATCTGAAATTAACCAACGATTTTTTGTGTATGTTCATAGAAGTTAGAAGTAAAATTGGCTCCAAGTTTACAAATTGTTAGAAATATTCCCGAAAATTTTCCGACGGAAATTTTTTCAGAAACTTTCCAGGGAAAATTTCTCAAGCTTCGATTATTTCTTCCCGGAAAATTTCCGTTTTGGAAACTTTCCGGGACAGAAAATTTCCCATTGCCCATCTCTAACTTAAACAATATTTAACTAATCCAATCTATAAGAGTTATTTCTACTTACACCAAGTTTTTTAACTCTTTGGGCAACATCTAACCACAATGCTTCCACAAGTCCATTTCTAAGGTGCCTTCCGTCTGTTTCTTCTGCCATAGCTCTAACAGAGAGCATCCAAATGTATAGTTCGGTTATAACAAACCAAGAATAAAAGGTATCGGGTAAATCCAATTCTTCAAAAATGGCAGCATAATTGATTTGATCGGCAATACCTTCGTACAACAAGTATGCCGTTGCTGAGACTCTCTAGAATAAATTACCATTATATAAATAGAATACTTACATCCGTTTTGTGCTTACAAGCTTATTGAAATCGAAGAAAGGAATTTTATTTAGAACTTTCTTCATTAGACCCTCTTTTTGAACACTTTTAACCTCATAAGTGGACACATGTCTTAATTGCAAATTTGTTAATACTTTTTGTTCGAATATATATTTTTCTACACTGCAACACGTTTTAACCCTATTATTTGATTGGAACAGAACCTTAAGAAAAAAATTTATTTAATAAAATAATTTAACAAAACCACAATTAAAAACAAACTTACGTTCCGCCTAACAGAGGACATGCTAACAAATCTTGTAATATTCATTATAGAGATATTTATACCATGTTATATAAAAATATTTCTGAGCTTGAAATATATAACCTAAAAAAATATATTTTGACAGGACACGGGACAGAAAATTATAAAACTAAAAGTGACAGTGCCATCTTTCAGTAACGTGTATAACCTTTCATCAATTTATTCTGTGCATGGAAATGGTGGAATGACGATCCATAAGAGGTAAGTAAAAATGAGAAAATTTTATATATTTTTCAAATTTAATGTCCTAAAAAGGATGCCGCTAGATAACTGATATTATATTATAAATATTACTAATAAAAATTTTAGATAATATATAAATATTATAACATAATTTGAGGGAGAGACATTCTTCATATGACCTTCTTCAAAGCAGTAATATTTTTTCCAAAATACATATGTACTTTTGAGTCTGATCCGATAGGTAATAATTTTAGTTTGAAAGATTATCTAGCTATTAATGTGTTTTAATTGCAGTTTTCAATATTTGGTACTAACGTGAACTTATATAAAGCAGTCGAAGATGCCAAAGTCGATGAACAGATTGAATTTGTTTCTTATAAGGGATTAAATTGTGAAGTTTCTAATTTACACAATTTACAACGTTATCTTTTTCTGTATATTCACAATACAAGTTTATTTCATGTGTATGTCGAATATAGATAGGTATTCGTACCTATGAAACGTTATAACATCACATTTTATCGTCAAACATATAAACATTTGTTATGAACATATAAAAACAGTACCGTCTTAAAATTTGCATCAACGTTTTTTTATTTATGTAATTAATTTTATCTATAGTATTTTTTTTTGACACTTTAAAACATTTCATAATAGGTACGCTAGAGTACAATAATTTTAATCATATAGTGTATCGGACATTATGCTACATATTTTTAAATAAGTGTATACAATCTGAAAACTTTATTATTTTATAACATTAAATATATACCTGTATATTATACAAAATGTTTGTAAAAGTAAGGTTATTAGAAATATTTTATTTCAGAAAATGAGTAAACATGGCCAATAGATCTGCAAAGAAAGTGAAAAAGCCATTACAAACAACTTTAGGAAAAGCAACCTGTCACGATAATGAGAAAGATGTGGATTTATCGCACGTTCAAAAACCGATAAACACAAGCGTTTTTGGTTTGAGACAAGTCCTGTCACTTTTTCAAACAGCTACAAAAGAAGTAAGTGATGCTTAAGTGGGATTTCCATTATTTTGATTATTTTTTATCTTTCTAGGTTCAAAATTATATAACATATGAATGTGATATTATGTATGAATGTCGAACATGTAGGACGATATTTCGTAGTTTGGCAAATTTTATACTTCATAAACGGGACTACTGCCGAGAACGGTTCAGTCACCTAGATCTTATTAATAACAATGAAGAAATTCAAGTAAGAATTTATTTCTAGCATCATACTTTATAACGATTTAATAAACTTTTATAGGAAAACACTTGTTCGGAAAATACACAAAATAGTTTAAATGACGAATCTACTCTACTTTTGTCTGATAAGAAAGAGGTTTCCGATACGCTAACGAAAAAAAGTTTACTGCCTGTAATTGAAAGATTGAAAGAAAAACAAGAAATATGTCAGTTGGCACAAGAGGTTTTGAACCAAGATTTGTCTTCGAAAGAAGATACAGAGAATTCCAACGACCCAGATGCTACAAATAAGAATAATGATTTACTACTGGAAGAAATAGCAACGAACAATGCAGCAGTTTTTCAAACTGTTCTACGGAAGTTGCCAAAAAGAGACGCTAAAAAGCCAGAGTTTATGAAATCTGAGGTAATAAAACTTTTATACAGAATATTATAACCGATAAGTAGAAAAAATTTGATATAAATGTGATAATTTTTGTATTAAAATTTTTCTAAAAGTATTTCACTTGACAGTACCTAGTATCGTGAATAAAAAAAAAATGTTAGAACATATAAGTAAACGTATTAAAATATGAGTGATCAAGGTTTTTAAATGTGTCCGTTAGTCTAAATACCTACTACCTTGTTTTTCATTACATTAAAAATAGAATTTCTCATTATCTATAGAAATAATGTGGCAATAGATCCTTATTCAATATTCAAATATAAAACTTTTAAAACCACAGAAAACATGAAAATCATTTATCTATATCAGGAGAATGAGTCATTCTGTTCAATCATTTTTATTGTTATCATGTTTTTCTGTATTACTTTGATATGATAGCCACTTTTCTTCACTGTGGTACATTCTACACATTAAATGAATACCAAATAAAAACAAACAAATTCTAGAAAAATATAGGTTTTTGTATCACTTTAACTTTAATAGCCGATAGAAAAATCTCATTGTAAGAAGGAAAGTTTTTATAAATATGGTAATCCAAAATTTGTCCATATTTTAATTTTTTCCACAAATTCACAAAAAATGTAAAGTAATCAATATTTTTTATTTTTTTATGCATTCTTTGAAACCATGATGTTAAATTATTTACATTCAAGTGCTTATTGTTTTGTAATAATATAGTTTTATTTGGCGATGTAGTTTTATATAAAAAATGTAATATAAATGTTATTCGCAATATCCGAAATCGCCTACTGCCCGATTTGTTTTGTCCGAACCAAAACGCATTATGGTTCGAACAATGAGTAAAGCAAATTAACCAGAAATAAGTGTTCGTGAGCATTTAGTTTGCTCCGTGGACCATTTCTTTTGCCCATGTCGTATTCTGGCTATTACGTTTTACCTCGGACGTGTTTCAAGTATTTTTATCGTTATCTGACATCGCTGCAAATTCTTCTATCAACGTGCGCTAAAAAGCCAGGTTGTCTTCTGGGTCTAAGCAAAGATTTGTTCGATGTAATTGCCTGAAGGCATGTGCAAGCATAAAATTATATATAAAATGTAGTTCAAAATGTCACAAAAGCAATCCTTGCAAAAAAACAAATAATATTTGTTTTTTTAGTTCTTGTTTCCTTATTTCTTTGCGAGTTTTTGTTTATAATATAATAACATATATATTCTATGATACCTACCTACGTATAAATAAACGCTTTATTTTTTGTATTCATTGATTTATTCAAAACGTATTCTTGGTAAAGCACAATAGCCAGAACGAGACGTGGACAAAAGAAATGCACAAGCCAAAACAAAAGCGGCCGCACAATTATTTCGCGTTGTGGGTGAGATACTTTACCCACGACGCCTTCAGGTTAATTTGCTTTACTCATTGTTTGAAGAAAAACTCTCTAAACACTGTTGGTAAATTACCATACCTATAACGCATTTTGGATAAAAAAATGAGGCAGTGGGAGATTTCGGCTAATGTGAATAACTAAATATCACCAATATCTCGGAATCACGAGAGCACCAACCTCGATAAACAAATATTTGCTATTAATGTTTAAAAAAATGTTCATTGTTAGCTTTAACTTAAACAAAACTTAGTTAAGTCCGAGTAGACAGCAGGAAAAAAGTAGGTGAATTTTAGGAATCATTGTCTCAAAAAGTATCTGTTCGATTTTATCTAGGTTTGTTTTATTCGAAAGTATACATGTTGAGGTATGCTGACAAATTTCTTTATAAAATATATATCGACTTTAAGTGCTGCTGCCATGGCCGGCCTAAAAAATATTCCTCGCTCGTACATTCCCAAGATTACATGCAGTCGGTTGATCTGAAACAAAAATTTCAAAATGTAACGTATGATGCCCTTCGCAAAATGGGATTAAAAAAAATATCACAAAATGGCAGCCGATTGAATTTTACATTCATTTTTTCCTTACTTTCTGACCCTTCTGGCTTGATAATAAAAAAATAATTAAGTGAAAAAAAAAATTTTACATTCTGAAGTAGAAAACCTATTTGAAAATACATATTGTGTCAGATTTTGCAATTAGTTTAGTCGTTATCTGAATATTTTGGGAACCGTCTTTGAGTAGTATGTTTTGAGATAATCGTGTTTGAAGTTTGCTAAAAAATTGACATGCTTGGTCGCTGGTAAATCGACAATAACTTTTACAGTTCTTGGAATATCAAGATAACATTTACACACGATATTCTTCATATGGAGTATTATTTTGGAAAAGTCAATTTTTGTAAGAAATTCATAATACATAATATATAATATGTTGAGAAAACTTTTTTTTTACTATACCGTTAATCTGCCATTCCGGGACCATAGAGTAGGCCCTCCACAACACTGGCAGCATCTTCTGCAAAGATCTGTTTTCATTAAATCCTTACTTCCCAGGTCACGTGAATTTTGATCAGCATTTCTTCCTACCTTGGTGTCCGGTAAATTGCCCATAACTTCCACAATTATTGGAATTTTAATGAAATTTACACACAATTTAAGACTACAAACTTTAAGATGAGTGAAAAACAAAAAATTTAAAAAAACATGTTTTTCTTCTTAGTTATTCCTCCTAATGGTTTTTGACACTGTATAGTTGGGCACATTCCTATAGGTTGTAGTTTTATCAGATAAACATTCTTAGTAATGATGCTAATAGTAAACGACATAATAAACTCTATTCAAATTATGTTGTATAATATATTAGTTCAAAACAATGAGAAATATTTTTGTTGTACTGATATGCTATTGCTTAAACTGTTCAGTATACTCTAAACATGAATGAGTTTGTAGACATATGTAATGTTATGCTGTGTTATGAAATCTTATACAAACAAAAAAGTTCTCTTCTAATTGAAAAAGCTTTATAATTTGATTAAAACATACACTTTTAGGTAATGGAAATTCATGGAATTTTGGATAGCGATGAAGCAGTTTTAGGACCAGATGGAAAAATATGTACGTTTGAAACTAACAAAATCAATGAAAATCCAATTATCCCAAAGAACGATTTGTTTTGTACAGAATGCAATTTAAAATTTTCTACTAAGAAAACCCTTACATATCACATTAAATACAAACACAACAACACCCGATTAGTATATGTTTGTCCGGACTGCAAAGACACTTTCGCCAATGCCTGGTGTGTTTATAGACATCTTTTTAAAATCCACAGAAAGTCTTCTGCTCAAATTAAAAGAATGAGAGAACAGATTCACAACAGCTGTGTTAGAAAAGATCAGGAACCGATGAAGAAAAAAGACAAGAAATCTAACGAAAAAGTAGATAAAACAGATGAAGAAAATCAGGTAAACTTAATGAATTTAAGAGGTAATAATTTCATATTAACTGGCAGAATGAAATATGGTTGTATCGGGAATTAAAAAAGAAGATTCTAGTTTTTAGATCTCTTGGTCTAAAATTTTTAGGAGCGGTTATCATGCAATTCTAAGAAATAGCGCGACAAAAAAATTTTGCAATTTTTTTTTCTGTTGTTTATTCAGCTTCAATTTCCTTTTTTTTAAATTTCAATACGACCATTTTTCATCAAAATATCGGACTTTTAATGGAAAAAGATCCTTTTGTCTTCAATCATCGATATCTTGGCGACAAATGGTCGTACAGAGAATTGAAGGGCAGTTTCGAAAACTGGAATAAATTTCCTATAACATGCTGCCCAAACTTTTCGGAAAAAAAAATTTTTTCGAATTTAAAAAAAAAACAGGGTAATTTGTGGTTTTTTAGAAAATTGACAGCTAAATTAGAAATATTCACGAAGTGACTAATGAGTTTTATAGATCGATATACCCAGAAATTGTGAAGTTTCATCTCGGTCTAGCGAAGCGTTTCTTTGTTTCAAACAGTCAAACTTTTGAAAAAAATGAAAGGGTCACGTTTTTTGAGTCCGGACATTGAAGAAAACAAAATCCAATTGTTTCCAGCACGATTCGTCTTTTCCATCCTATGGTTCTGTTCATCAACTTTTAATTAAATTAAAATTAAAGTTTGGCTGTTTGAAACAAAGAAATGGTTCGTTAGATCGAGATGAAACTTCACAGGGTGCTTCTGGGTATATCGATCTGTAAAAGTCATACTTAACATTAGTCATTTCGTGAATATTTCTAATTTAGCCATCAATTTTCTAAAAAACCATAAATTACCTCTTTTTTTCCTGTTTTTAAAATTCGTGTAAAAGATGAAAAAAAATGTTTTTTCCGAAAAGATGCCGCAGCATGTTATAGGAAATGTATTCCAGTTTTCGAAATTGCCCTTCAATTCTCTCTACGACCATTTGTCACCAAGATATCGATGATTGAAGACAAAAGGATCCTTTTCCATTAAAATTTCAATATTTCGATGAAAAATGGTCGTATCAATATTTAAAAAAAAAGGAAATTGAAGCTGAATAAACAAGCTATCTGGTCCATGCAATGGCTTAGTTGAAAAAAATTTTTCCAAGTCTGTGGACTCTTAGAATTGCAGATAACCGTAGCTCCTAAAAATTTTCTACCAAAAGATCTAAAAACTAGAATCTTAGAGCTTCAAAATGCTTTTTTTTAATTCCCGATATGACCATTTTTCACCTATCTCAATCAATTTCTGTCAAAAATCACAGAAAAATTTCGGAAATTCTTTTAACCCTTTAATTGTTTGCATTAGTGTATAATTCAGTTTACAGATATAAAGGGTGTCCGGGAGCAAATGGGCCATATTTCAAATGTAGCTTGATCGATTTAGGTCAAGTTACTTTAGTAGAATTTTGTTTCTTTAAAAAACCACCAACTTTAAATTTTTTTAAGTTGACTTGCTAATTTTAATTAGATTTGGCAACCGAAGATAAACAAAGGCTTATTTTTTTTACCTAAGAATGAAAATATTGTTTATTTTCTTTGTTGGTAGAGATTTTGGAAAAATGCCTATATTGTATGTAGTGTTACTTTATTTGCTGTAGAGAAACTTGTCCTATGGCTAAAATGCATCATTTCAGAAAAAAATGGATATCAATTTGGATTCTAATCTAATTAAACTTCATCTATTTGCTAAATGTTAGCCTGTATAAAACTTTTTTTGCAATTTGCTTCAATCTCACTATGTAAAAAAATTGAACAAAAAATATTTAAAGGGCCATAACCTTTCAAGGACGCAACATTATACCAAGTTAACTTGATTTATATCAATTTATTTTCATCGAAGGATGCTACCCATTCACTTCTCAACACTACGTGTAGCAATTAGATATATAGAGTGATAATGGATTTTAGTGTATTCTTAATAAATTTTTACTTTTCCAGTGGCTAACTAATATTGAGGGAGATAATGATTTTCAAATGTGTGGGGGTTGTGGCAAAAGATTTGAGAGGAAGGCCGCTTTGCATTCACATGCTCAAATGTGTACAAAGAGGATAGCAGTCTGTAATACTATAAAAGAAAACAATGCCAAAAAGAAGGAAGAGGAGGTCCCCAAAGATTTAAAAAGTAAAAGTACGAAAACTGAAAAAGTTGAAGTACTCAAAGGATCGTTGAAGAGAAAACCCTACCTTTTAAGAACTTATAAACCGAATGAGGAGGAAAGTCACGATAATAGAAAAATAACATCGAATAAAGAAGATGATGTCTGTGATGTTAACGCAAATTGTGAGATAGTTGAAACCAACTGTGATAATAAGAAGGATGTTGCAGAAGAAGAAGTAACACATAACATAAGAAATTCTCCGTCGAGCCTTGAAGATCTGTTGTCCCCTAAAAAAGATTTTGTTAGCTCGCCATCTATAGAAAAAATCGATACTGAAAAAATGTTGCATATTATCGGTATTACCACAGACTACGAAAACAGTATGAATGGAACTAAGTATAGTTCCCAATGTTCAGTTGACGAAAAGACTTCCAACTCTGACAAACATTTATCGAAAGAAGGTAGTAGGTCTCATACTGCCAGCGACTTTGATTTATTTTGTCAAAGTGTAGCGGAGAGTTTACTTACGGATACACTAGGTTCTACACCAGTGGAAATAGAAGATTTCCCCCAAAAAGTAACCAAAACTATACCTTTAATATTACGAAGGAAAAATAATCCTAAACAGGAAAAAAAGAATTCCATTTTGGTACACAATAATGAAACACCCTTACGCAGTGACTTATCAAATGAGAATAAAGCTAAAAATCATATGAAAGTTCCTACAGAAAATAAGGACATTGCTCAAACAAATGATTCAAGCGAGTTAGAAAGTTTGCAGCCAAATACAAGTTTTAAAATAAGCGTTAAGAGCTTAGAAGATTTAATTGGCGTTTCACCTCAAGACCATAAAAAGAATTCAGAAAACAGAGAAATTAATAACGGGCAAATTGAAAAGCATAAATCAAATCATGACAATTTTACTGAACCTAGCTCTAAAGATATATCAGACACTTTAAGAGCAAATGTGTCACCAGAAAAATTACATGGAAGATATCCAAAATGTCTCAAAAGAAAAAGAACATCCTCATTTGATTTCACGGAATCCAACAAATTTTCTAAATCGTCAAAAGGGAATCTTAGTTCGAATAAACAAGACACAAGTTTTATTAGTAGAGCTTCGCCTTTTATGGATCAAAATAAACTTTTATGTGTACCGTGCCAGACAACATATCCTACCCTTTCCAAGTTGTTGTGGCACATGTCCGCACACTTTTCATGGTTTAGATTTCAGTGCAGTCGGTGTTCCTTCATTTCTTTCAACAAATTGGATTGTGCCAACCACGCAAAAAAAGTTCATTGTGTAAAAAAGTCATCGATACAAAGTGTTGTTTTACCCATTCCCAACTGGAAAACGGTTCTAATGTCACACGACTTTTATAAGTTGAACGATGATAATGATTTAAGTGGAAAACACACCGACGAAGTTCTATCCCAAAATCCGGAAGAAGCCGCCGTTATCAATGACTTGGATGAAAACACACACAAAAATGATGAATGCGACGAATCCGAGTGGTCTAACAGATTATTTGTGGAGTCAATAAACTTCGATTATGAACCAGAAAATGACCCACTAGAACCTGATCCTCCAATAGGCTGCGCTAACAACATCAAGCAAGAAAATATCGATGTTGTCAACAACGACCAGGAGTCATTTCAGATAGAGGTACCGCAAGAAATATATACGCTAGATGTTTCAGAAATAATAGAAGGGGTAAATTATGAGGAAAGGAACCGCTATGGTACAAGAATTAAAATAGAGGAAGTCGATGAGGAAGATGACTTGAATATGAGTAATTTTATCTCGATAGATCGAGAAAATGAAGCAGCTTTAATCGATGAAGTTAAAATTAAAACAGAAGTAACATCGGATAGCGATACAACTGATTTCAACGAGAGAAATGATGAGGTCAATAATTTTGAGGATCAGGAATGTTTTCATAAACATTCAGAACAAACTGTAAATATACGACCTACACGCAATAGAACGAGAAGCATAAAAACCATTCAAGATGATTTCTTTTATGATCTAAGTAAAGTCATAAAATTAAATGACACCTCTGTAAGTAAGTCAAACTTACAAAAACATAAAAAGTCTGTGTCCCAAAAAAATGCTAAAGAATCTAACTGTTCCGGTGGTAAAAGTGACACTCAGCCGATCAGAGTTTATGCTAAAAAAAAGTAAAACTGTTTTCGTTGTTTGGTAAATTTCTTTTAAATTATTAAATGTATAAAGAAGGGTTCTTCTATTAATTTTACTGTATGAGAGTTAACGAGTAAACTTAATGATTGCTATTTATGTTTTAAATAATTTTATTTAATTTTTTTTGTTATTTCTGCAGAATTGTAAATATTTGTATATATTTTCAATAAAATGGAATTAAAATAAATTTGTTGTAAATTGCAGTGCACCAAAAAAATGCTTTGTCTGCTAAATTATAGCACTCGTGCTATTACAAAGCCGATATGATCTAGCCAATTACAACTATAGCGTTTAGGGTTTGTGGTTACTTCCTATATCGACAGGACTGCAACAACGAAAGTAGTAATATTTTAATAATGGGTATTCATACTGTTTTTTGGAGCCACATAGAGAAAAATTTCTGACAAGACTTGTGAAATAAAAAATTGAAGTTAGTGTGGCTGACCTTGAGGTCCAGAAAATGGTTGCACATATTTCTGCAAAATATCTTTGTTTCACAATTGATAGGTACAATAATAAAGTTTCAATTTTACTTATACAGGGTGTTTCACGGTGACGGCCCATTAGAATTATTTCAGAGATTACTTCGATTTGAGTTTTGAAAATTTAGCATACCGGTCAACTAAAATAATGGCGTCCACGTACCACTTCCGGTTATACCGGAAGTCGCCATCAACTTGCTTATTTTATATGGAACACCCTATATATTATTGCAATTTTGGTTTCTACGTGTTGTTTTAGGTGGACTTTTATGAAGTTTCCCTATTCCTAAAATTAACCGTTTTTGAGATATTTAATTTTTTTCAAAAAAATTGAGAGAAACTGACTAGCTTCAAACCATGTGTATTCTATAGTAAGAAATATAAAGCAACAATATTTATCGGGGGGTTAGCTAGACCCCTAAGCTTCCCATCAATAATTTGAAAGTGGCTAAATTGCATACGAGGGCTGTCTAAAAAGTTCGTATAGTGAGGGTCTGTTTGCTATCAGAAGGAAAGTGGGGGCAAAACAGAGCACTCTCCTCTCTCTCCACAACCCAACGGAGCCCCTGTAGACGCCCGAACGGCCAGCGAGTCAGTCGATAGTTTTGCTGCTTAAGAACATTGACACCTTTCTCAGACTGTCGTCACCATGGAATTTTCTGACAATGAGGTACAGCGCATCGTCATCAAGTTTCTCATAAAACTTGGGAGAAATGGACCCCAAATCTTCCAATATTTGACCACAGTTTATGGGGAAAATGCGTTTAAAGAACCAACAGTTTTTAGGTGGATGAAATGATTTCGTGAAGATCGGAAAAGCGTGAAAGACAATGCTCATTGTTTTTTTTTCTTCCAGTGGCATTGTGCATCATGAATTTGTTCTCCCAGGTAAAACAGTGAATGGACAATTCTACGTTGAGGTACTAAAGAGGTTGAAAGCGCGAATATTTCGTGTGCGCCCCGATTTGGCTAGGAACAATTCGTTGATTTTGCATCATGACAATGCTCCAGCGCACACATCACTAGTTGTTCGCCACTATTTGGCCAAAAATTTAATAACATTGATGGAGCACTATCCATATTTGCCTGACTTAACTCCATGCGACTTTTTCTTATTCCCCAAATGCAAGATGCTGGTTCCAGGGAGGCATTTAGGTGCGGTGGAAGCGATTAAAAAGGAGACGACGAGGTTATTAAAGAACATCACCAAAGATGAACTGAAGAGGTGTTTCCAGCAGTGGAAGCATCGTTAGCGGAAGTGTATTTTACTTGAGGGGGAGTACTTTGAAGGGGATACTGTTGAATTACCCAATTAATTGTAAAATAAAATTTGTATTCGACTTCTATACGAACTTTTTAGACAAACCTCGTACAGGGTGCTAGAAATTGAATGCCGAGTTTAGTTAACTTCAAACCTTCATAAGTTTTTTTTTAAATGTAACACCCTGTATGTTTTTGTATATTCTGATACACAATTTTATTCTCTTCGAACGGTATCAGGGTTTCCTATACCTATATCTTCTAGTTTTTAAGTTATCTACTATTTTTTGTGTGATCACCTAAAATCATGTAATTTCTTATGAGGATAGCTGTAGAATTTTTAGCAAAACTTCAAAACAAACAACTAAACTGTCAATATAGTCTCTTGCAGTGACAGTTTAATTTAGTGTTTATATGAAATGGAAAACAATACATATTCAATTGCTGATATTTTAAATTTATTATTCATTCATAGACGTTACAATGGGATTATAAGCAGAACATGTATAGTTTTTAATGAGACATATCCAAATTTGCCACCAATGAGCAGAAAAAAATTAAGAAGAATTTTAGTAAATCAACTCATTCAATCAAATAGCTATTCACCGCTTTCTTATTAAACGTAATTTGTTTATATGTGATGTAAAATTTTATTATCTACGTATAGTTTCTTGATGTTTTTAAAAAGATTTTAAAAGTTTAAATTAGATTGTTGATTAACAGCACTTGCAATCTATTGAAAAATCAATTGTGAGAGAAATACCTACCAAACTTTAATGAAAAAGTCATTGAAAAGTATATTTTGGACAACAGCTGAAGAATGGACTCTCACTATAAAAAATAATGTTGAACACATTTTCCCTATATTTCAATAGTAGGTACTAAAAATAAAACTACCCAATTATATTTGTACTGGGTATAAGAATAACTATAAACAGTGCCTCTGCAGTAAATTAAAACAGTCCAGAGATTATTAAGGAATAGGTACTTATTATCAAGAGGTTAGAAGTATGCTGTTTATATATTCATGCATGCACGTATTTGTATTTTGTAACAGTTTATTTGTTGAATGTCATTGAGACAAAGCATAAATAATACATTGTAACTACCTATACATACAGAGACCATATAACATATAACCATTCAACCAATAAAAAATGACCCCCCCCCCTGCCCGCTAACCTTTTCTGTTTCAGCCTAAGGGCCACCTTAGCAAAGCGCATCCCAGGCTGCATAGCCGCACTACCCTACCCAACCATACCACACATAAACATGACACTACCCCCGGGGTTTACACAGACGAGCCGGCGAAGCAAGAAGAGCGCCAGAAGAAAGGGCCCTAGCCGGCGGGGCCCAGCCAGGACAAAAGGAGGTCTCACAAAGCGCCTACACCGGCCGCATTTGCGGTCGGGGTAGACGACGGATGGGGCCCACCTACGAAGGCTGTCCAGGCCTACACGAGATGAGGCAGGATAAAGAGGGATAATCCCCCTCGATCCCAAATCATTGAGGCCAATTTCTAGCCATAGAATAATGGCGGCGAACCACTAAAAAGAGAAGCCTTCATAAAAGATTACAAGCCACGTGACCAGCAATTTTGTTTGAAACAGTAACTTTATTTCCTTCAAGTTTGCAATTGAATTTTAGTAAAATTAAACAGTAAGATCAAGATTACATTAAAACGCAACGTTGTGTTTCACCGGCTGGCGGTTGATAATTTTTCGCAAGATTCTATTATTCAACCAATCAGTGAACGCATTATTTCTAGCGTGGACGTAACGGTTTATCTACTTGACTTGATAAGAGGTCGCGTCCTGCTGAATTACCCAAGACAGATACGACGACTTGACGATATACTCGGTGTAGGCGCTTTGTGGGACCTCCTTTTGTCCTGGCTGGGCCCCGCCGGCTAGGGCCCTTTCTTCTGGCGCTCTTCTTGCTTCGCCGGCTCGTCTGTGTAAACCCCGGGGGTAGTGTCATGTTTATGTGTGGTATGGTTGGGTAGGGTAGTGCGGCTATGCAGCCTGGGATGCGCTTTGCTAAGGTGGCCCTTAGGCTAGCGCGGGAGGGGAGGG